ATTGTAAGGATAGGTAAAGTTAAGTTAGGTCAAGGGGAACATTTTACACTGGTCATCAGGTATATTTACCTACTGGTCATTAAGTTATTTAAGTTTAGGTCAATAGACCCGCACCCGTTATTTTATAACTTATAAAACAGATATGAATGACTCATTAAAAACTCAAAAATAAAATTATGATTTTATTAGTTTTGATAATACCGGTAATATGATTGAATTTAGTTTTCTAAACATTGATTGTAATATCAAAACGATTTTATAAATAAATGCATGGTAACTTATCATTGATAACTATAGTTTGTTTAGATTTATTATTACAAACACAAATTCTTGCATAATTATAAATAAATAAAATCTTTAACACTTTACTTATCATTAAAACTAGGGTTTAGTATAACTGTAAAGTAAAAGTACTGGTATAAAGTTAATGCTTCAAATAAATTACTATCGTAGTATACTTTTTTAAACAGGTTTCATTTGTAATCCCTTTTATCAATGTATTGTTATTAATCAATAATTTTCTTTACAATAAAAATAAATTGCAAACAAATTTTAATTGTTCATTTCAAATGTCAATTACAATGAATTCAATGATTATAAACATACAATAAATTTTAATATTAATTTCTAGATAAGTATGTATTGATTAGTAGTGTATTTAGCTATCAAATCAATTAATGTCTAAACAAAATGATTGTCAAAACTAATGTTGTTTTATGGACTCCAATACTAGCCCTAACGCGTTTTGCTACAATTATAGCCCAGTTTCCGGCACCGGGAGCACAGGGATGACTCGTGACCCTTGCGTTTGTCATTTTTCTTATCCATCCCTTGAGGTCTCTCCAGAAGTCTCTAACAAACAGTGAAAACAAAACACAAATTAAACCAAAAACTAGTCTAAAACTATAAAAATCACACGAAATGACTACACATTGACTACAAAAACACACATTTCTCACAAAATCAAGTGTTGATTGATTTTATGCTCAATATATACAGTATATTATAAATTGAATAAAAGTTTCCGTAAATAACATACGAGTTTGTGGGCGTCGGTAGATATATGACATTTCCGACACTTTTGGCCAAAACCCAGCCACGAATGGGCTGAGAACCAGGTCCTCAAGCATTTGAAGCATTGGTATTGTCCGAAATACTTCGTGTCCACCACTGCCTTGAAGTCTATTCATAATAAACAAGTTTTTTGTCACATAATTATCCTTAGATTTACCATCAAATTCAACACAACTCTTGCTATTATAGACTATTAGAGAAAGGCATATACTATCCTCGATACAACTGATTATACTGTATTTACTAAATTAAAAGCAAGATTACTGTCCACTAACTGTTATTGGTGTCCACAGGGCTCAACAAATGCTATGAAAATATAAGTTTCAATTAGTTATCAAATTATTATCTAATTTTGTAAGAAATGATTACCACTTTAGTTGGCCAGACATCCATGCGATCACATTTAGGGCATTCCTCCTGAGTCTGCATTTGAATGTTATTTCTTGTCCACGTGTGGCCACATTGGCACCGGTAGTCACCCGAATACAGGCGCCCTTAACATAAGTTTTAAACAAAATACAAAAAACGATTTCATTGTTTAAAATAGTTTTGTTATAACTTTTAAAACTTGAAAACTTTTGCAACAATTGAATGAAAAAATACTCAACTCTTTCGCAAACGACTGCCCTTTGAGACCATTGAACACACAATTAGACTATAAATTGAGTGAAATATTAGATTCAAGTTTTTAATATCGATAGTTATATACAAAAATGCTTGACAACAGCACTACTATTACAGTAATATTATATTACTCATTAGAAAAATATTTCTACTTGTACAATACAACAATTAATTTATTATTGATATTGTATGCTTACAAATGATATAATTTACGATAAAAAGGTTAATCAAAACTTATTATTTGTTTGCAAAGTATTATGTCATAAAACACTTGCACGTTATGTCTATTATAGCGATAATTGTTTGTGAAATAAAATCTCAATACTATTTGCATGAAAATCAGTGAATGAGATAAGCGTTGAATTTGCAAAAGGATTTTAAATCATATTTTGTATTATAAAAGCGTTTACTTGTGAGAGAAATACTGTAAAATCCCTGAGTTCTCAACTCCTCAGTAATGTATAGCTCTCAGTTATGAACTGTAAGATATTTTTTGACGGATTGCCTAGCCGGACTGCCACCCTTTACAGCAGTTTTGGCACCGGAAGCGTCCGAAATACCGGCGCCCCTCACGACCCTTATCTACAGATTTGCCGTAAATTGTGATTAAATTAATTGTTTTATAAATTAATTGTTTTATAAATTAATTTTTCAATACATAGGTTTGTCGACAGATATACTAATGAACTGATCAGTGGTTTACGAAATGAGCGATAAGTTTGCTTCGTATTGAATGCAATTCAATGAAAATATTTATGAAAACAAAATATTCAATGATTCGTTCAAAAGTCAAAGTTTTGTAAAGTTTGTGATACTATTACCACTCGACTACTAAATTTCAAGTCTCAGTACATTTCGTATTTATAGTGAAGTCGATGTGTGAATGCATTGAATACAGTCGACCGTCGCTATTATAAACTCTCATATTATCGACGATGACTAACTGCATTTAAAGCGAATGTAGGCTGTATTCATTCATGTAATTAGATACCGGCTATAGATTGTGCCAAACGATTCATTATGAATACTCCACGACCTCAACACGATATTATAGTAGTATCAGGCAACATTTTTGATATATGTTTATACATTACTAATGTAACATTAGAACCTATTTGATTGTTTGGGAGCTTATAGTCGAAATACTCCAGGTAACTTATTTTTCATATTTATGTGATTTGGGGCCAAAATTATACGTATCACATGTGATTTCAGTTTAGTTTCCATGTTTCTAATGACCTAGCCACTATTTGCATCAATTATAAACAGGGATCCTTTATGTTGTTCAAAGTATTTAAACGGGTTTACGCCTAGAAGGCCTAAAACACAAAACTCATGTACTGTATTTACTAAATTATAAGCAAGGTTACTGTCCACTAACTGTTATTGGTATCCACAGGGCTCAACAAATGCTTTGAAAATATATGTTTAAAATAGTTATCAATGTATTAAATGATTACCACTTCTAAGGGCCAGACATCCATGCGATCACATTTAGGGCATTCCTCCTGACTATGTATTTAAAAGTTATTTGTTGTCCATTTATGACTACATTGGCACCGGTAGTCATCCGAATACAGGCGCCCTTAACATAAGTTTTTAAAAAATTACAAAAATGTTTTTATTGTTTAAAATAGTTTTGTTATAACTTTTAAAACTTTAAAAATTTCGCAACATTTGAATGAAAAATAACCGACCCGGGTGCATAAAAAATCAATTAATAAATAAATGGTAAAGTTATTTTATAAATGAAATAATTTTAAGTGCACTTAATTGTTGATAAAAATCAATAATCAATATCTATTTCAAACATTTGAATGGATCATAAACATATGATTCTAAAGCTATTTTAATTATTATACTGTACTTGTATACATATTATTTTTTGCAATACTTAGTTCAGTTTAAATACAGAAAAATATTTTAATGGGATTATGTTTTATAAAAATTATTTTAAATTTTCTGTTTAATAATATAATTATAACAATATTTATGTTAAACTAATATCTTAACTGGATCTAATTCTTAAGAGGCATTCACCTTATATTCAGGTTTAAAATTAAATAAGTTTTGTACAGTATTTATAAAGCAAACAATTATTTTATTATATAAGGTTTCTTAGCTTTGAGGACCTGGTACAATCGGTACAAATTCATATGCAATCAGTTTAAAGTATAATAGAAATAGTTAAACAAATGTTTATTACAAGCAAGTGAATTATAAATCATTTATAAATTTAACAATTAAAATATAGGATATACAAAATTTGCCACAATAATCATAAAACTCATAAAAATTAATGGGAAACCATTCCCAACACGTGAAACCAATATGATCCTGGGTTAATCTCTCAATTAATTTTACTAATAGTAATTTTTGTCTTAAGGAAGGTTGTGTTTTAATGATAAATGAGTGTAAATGTGGCCGAAACTGATGAGACCTCTTATTAATAGATGCCCACAAATAGTTGACAATAATCAGTATTACTATGCTATTGATTATTCCAAACATGAGAAAAATCCTTAAGTTAGTGTTAATTGTACACTATATTGCAATATATAAATAGCTAAATCGACAATAATTGTAAACATTACATAAAGAACGAGAATAATATATTTATACATTGCATTCAATTGTGTTATACATTTGGATACAGAATTGTGTTCATCAATAGTCCTCAATAACATGTTTATACTTTTGTTATTTAGACTGATAATAATTTTATCGTTAATTTCTTGTAATTGATAATTAATATACAATAATGCGGTATAAGTCAAAATGAACATGATAATAATTATGTTGACAACATCTCGAATTGTTAGATAAGTAAAATATACCCAGAATATTATATAACCTAGTGAATAATTTGTGTTATCATCAAAATATGCCACAAATGTTGCGCCAATAAATGCGATGGCTACCAAAATGACCCCAATATTCTTCATCTTGCCCAGAAGATATTTTGTAATTAAATTGATTTTAAACGCATATTTACCAGCATTTGATTTATCCAAACGAGTTGTGTTTGTTTTGTGCTTGATGCCATTGATAAAATCAATAGTAAAATGTGCACATTTATTTTCAAAATAATAATATATAAAAAATAACACAATTATTGCAATCATAATCAGAACATATACCATTGTAATTATTTGTGAATTTCCAAACAAATAGTTTGGGTTTGACATCATATTTGTGATATTTTTATTATCAATATATATGACTGAAATGATATACCGGATGGCCATTAAAATATTAACGAATCGGAAAAATAATATTTTATTCACTCTTTTCGGTGATCTCTTCTCATGATTACAATAGTCGTTGAAATTGTTTGCAAATAATATATAATTATTTGTACAGAATTTGTCAATTCTGTTGATAGCATTCAATTCATTAGTGTTTTCAATTGTAAAGTTTGCAATTTTTTGTTGAGCTTTTAATTTGGACTGTTTAATATAATTCATGTTTAAGTAACGTATACTACTTATTAAGTTAAATATTATAATAAAAATAATTAAATGAAAATTAGGTTGATTATAATGATTATGATTATTACTGTCGTATTGTATATGAAAATATTTTCAAAATCAAATAATAATAGTAAGTTATTGATATTAGAATATAATGATTCATTAATAATGAATACTGTATGAGGTATACAATTACTGTGTGTTAAATATTAAATAACATTATCATAAATAAAATCTTTGTTTGTTTATGAATTTACTAGAATAAGTAAGTTTTACTTAAGTTTATAAAATTAATTAATTATAAGTTAAACAATAATTTAATGAGAACTGAACATTGAGTTAATATACAGTAATAGATAAAACGCTTTTACATGTACTTTATATTTTTCATCTGAATATAATATATAATAATATACAGTAACTATGCCTACTATTTATGATATGACTTACATTACAGACAATGAAATCAATATAAAGTAATTGTACTTTAATTTTGGTCAATATATCAATAATCAATAATTAAAGACAATCTAATATATTGTACAATAATTATACAAAATACTGTTAATTAAGAAAATGTTATATTTTGATAGATAATCTTTAAATGATTAAATATAATTTCAAATAGTTAGTTGAAATAGTGAGATGGATAAATTTAAAATAGTAACTTCTGTCTTAAGGAAAGTTGTGTTTTAATGAGAAATGCGTGCAAATGTTTAGTTTAAGCATCAAATAAATTAATCAATTTTGTTTATTTAATTAAATGTCAATTTAGTTGCATGGTAATGCAAACAAGTATTACAAATATTACATAAAATTGTTTTTCAAATACTTTACTTCGAAATATAATTAATTATCAAAAGTATTGAACAAATGAATGGCAAAAATGAGAACAAATATACTAATAGTGAGTGAATGCATGCAAATACAGACACCAAATGAAATAAAATGTCATAAAAATGAGATAAAAATCAGAAATAGATCCAAATATTAGTCGAAATGTTGGGTGACTTTGGTAACCAATCCATCAAACATTGGCTGCAGATAGTCCTCGCGAGCACCGGTAGCCATCAATAAGACACTCATAGCCAACAACAGAGCCAAAGCCAAAGTAATCCACAAATACAGGCGCTTAGAGCTATCATTGCCTTCAGCTCTTACTCCAGAAGCACTGCCATTAGTGGTGACCTTTCCCACCGACACGCCATTCCCAGTGGACAGGGATCCGTTCACACCAACCCATTCATGTGTGCGCTAATGAGACATAAAAACATTCATTCATTACAACTGAAACTTATTATAAAACGCAGGGAATAGGGCACCAGTAGGTTGGGGTAGACCCAGTCGACACACTTGGGGTTCGGGCACTGGCGTTGATATCCAAGCCATGACTGATGGGAACTCCATGTCCGTAGGCACTGGTCGTTAGAGCACTCGTATTCGCCGTAATAGC